CTTGGTATATTGGTGCTAAACAATTAACAAGGAAATAAAGCAGAGCTAGCAACAACGGGCAGCTGTGGCTCAGTTGGTAGAGTCATCATCTCTCAACGGGAAGGTCAATGGTTCGATCCCCAGCTGAGCAACATGTCCAATGTATGAATGGATTAGTGTTGTACTTACACTCTGATGTACATCACTTTGGATAAAAGTGCCTGCTAAATGAATTGTAACATTGTAGCTTAAATAATTAGTATAGCTTAAAGTATAAGAATCAATTACAATATATAAAATCTAATTTAAAAATGTATAAAAGGTGCAATGTAGGAGCTGTGCAGTTGACTATGAGAAAAATAAAACAATATACAGACTCCTGATCATATTTTCCATCACTTTATCAACATGATGTCAAAAACAGAACAACTAATCAAACAGGAAAAGACAACATGTTGTTTTACATGTTTTTCTCTGTATTCCCACCTGATCTTGTTGTTCTCCTGTGATCTTGTGAACCCGTGTGTACAGCTGCTCATGGCGGCGTTCATCTTTCAGAAATGGACCCAGTGGGTCAGAGCCTGGACGTCCGACCGTGACGCTGAAAGACCGCAGCACTTAGAGAATATGTGTAAACTGACAGTTAGGCTTCAAAACACCTCTTCAGAAACCAATGAGCGAATAAGGCCGTATTACGCGCTGGCAGTGTCCACATTTTCAAAACAAAACCAATGCAGTCTGACATTTTTAACTCTAAAACCCCCCATAGCATCAGCTGTTTTTGGTCGCTGTGCTTACACCTGGAACACCGCCATGCTTGTCAATGTCTCTTCTCCTTCACCGACCAATCAAAATCAAGAAGGGGCGGGACTTCTGATATCAGCTTTGTCAAAAATACTGGTGGAGGGCACAATTTCTAGTTGAAGTGGAGCAAGCAACCTCTGAAACTGAGGTTGTGAGCATCCATGTTTTAAACGGTCTTTGGCTGTTACGGGGGCGCCAGTAGCCCAGTGGTTAGTGTGGGCTCCCCATGTACGGAAAACCAGAGTTCTCCAAGGGGCGGCCTGGTTCCAATCCGATCTCTGACTCCTTTCCCTGAATGTTATTCCCCACTTTCTATCTCTCTCTATGATTTCTGAGTCCACACTCTGCCCTGTCTCTAAAATAAAGGTATTTACCTGTTGCTATTCCACGATAAGGATCACAGCAACATGTGTCCACGGGGGTTAAGTAAGGTTTACTCGTCTTCATCGTTCATAACTCTTTGCTGTAGAGCTTCGTTTACAGCTTTGAAAGTGACCTGAATGAGGCTCCTCGTCAATGAACACGGCTCTCTCTCTCTTTCACTCCCAATGAGCAAGATATAGGATACAACCTGAGGGGACAACGTTGTCTTTTAGCAGCTTGGAAGTGGTAAGGAGTTCACACACACACACACACACACACACACACACACACACACACACACACACACATACAGATTTAATAGAGCTACAGCTAGGAAAGGAAACTCCCTGGCTTAGAAAGGCAGTGATCACTCATATCCTGATCTTCTGATAGCAACACACATGTGGTTTTCATGTGTGTAAGGGGATGTGTGTGTGTGTGTGTGTGTGTGTGTGTGTGTGTGTGTGTGTGTGTGTGTGTGTGTGTGTGTGTGTGTGTGTGTGTATGTGTGTGTGTTGCTCTTACATTGTCTCATATGTTTCTATTGCCATGGTTATTGTCTGTCCGTCTTCATTCATTAGTACAGCTGCTGTGATGAAGATTTTGAAGCTTTGCTGCCACACGTGCAAACACAAAAAACTTCAGCGTGTCGTAAGACCTCAGGTATGGATTCTTTCATCACAGGTGAGCACGTCACGCTAGCTCTCTCTCTCTCACTCTCTCCCCCTCTCTCTCTCTCCCCCTCTCTCACTCTCTCTCTCCCCTCTCTCACTCTCTTCCCCCTCTCTCTCTCTCTCTCTCTCCCCCTCTCTCCCCCCTCTCTCTCTCTCTTCTCTCTCTCTCTCTCTCTCTCTCCCTCTCTCTCTCTCTCTCTCTCCTCTCTCTCTCTGTCTCTTTCTCTCTCTCCCCCTCTCTCCCCCCTCTCTCCCTCTCTCACTCTCTCTCTCCCCTCTCTCACTCTCTTCCCCCTCTCTTTCTCTCCCTCTCTCTCTCCCCCTCTCTCCCCCCTCTCTCTCTCTTTCTCTCCTCTGTCTCTCTCTCTCTCTCCCCTCTCTCTCTCTCTCTCTCTCTCCCCCTCTCTCTGTCTCTTTCTCTCCCTCTCCCTCTCCCCCTCTCTCCCCTCTCTCCCTCTCTCTCTCTCCCCCTCTCTCCCCCCCTCACCCTCTCTCCCTCTCTCTCTCCCCCCTTTCTCTCTATCTCTCTCTTTCTCTCTCTTTCTCTCTCCCTGTTTGTGTCAAGCTCTCTTGGTTTAGAGAGAAATCATCGTTGAGGAGGAGGTGACACAATCACAACAGAAGACATTATCAAAGTTCAGCTTCTTTTTGGATGCATGTTTGTGCCTGTGTACCTGTAACTGACAATCAGCGAATTATGGAGAGAATGGAGGACGCCGTTTCAAAGGTTGATCTAATAGCACAATCACTTTCAGAAGGGAGAATGGTGTCTCTCTCATGTCATGTGTTTTCAGCACTATGTAACTTTGGCAGCGGGTCGAGGTCATCTGGTGAGAAGTGTGTACGTCTTTACGGCGCTAGTTCACACAGCAGCCTTCAGCTACAAAGCAGCCAGTTAGCCCATCTCTGTACTGTTTGATACAACGGCTGAGGCTAAGAGGAAGAGGACGGTGAGGCTAAGAAGAGGAAAAGGAGAAAGAGCCAGACTAGAGGAGCTAGTTAACAGATGCCCGTTGTCTAACAGTGGGAGGAGTTAACAGCACTAAGTACATTTGACGACTGTGTAGTTGCACTTGGAAACCTTAAGTGGGCGCCAAAGCGCACCAAACCAAATTCCTATATTTCTATTGTTGCTTTAAAGGGGACATATTTAGAAAAATCCACTTTTACAGTGTTATTGAACATATATTTGGGTAACCTGAGTGTCTACCGACCCAAAAAAATTGAAATAAACCCATCCAGTCCTTTGTTTGTGTTCTGCATAAGTCTTACAACACAGAGAAAAATGCTCTGTTTCAAATGTCCTCTCCTTGTGATGTCACAGTTGGATTCTGGTAAAAAAAAAAATCCCCTCCCCTCCCCTGGTATCTCCATCCATGGACTCCACCTCCAGACTAGAACAAAACTTTTGCGCAGGTCCGCCATTTTTATTCTTGCTACAGAGGAGTAATGTTGACTGGGAAACTCAGGGGGGGCTCTTAGCATTTAAAGGGACACACACACCGAAACGGAGCGTTCTGAGAGAGCTGGTTCATACAGGGTCGCAAACCTCATCTGGTGCTTGATTCATGTTATATTCTGACCAAAGCACAGCACAGATGTTTCATTTAGACCACAGGGGACTGTTTGAAAAGGTGGAGAAGGGGGATAATTTGTCCTCTTTAAAGAGTGAATACTTGATTATTTTCATCAGGCCCTTGTGACACTGATTGTGCTACGTCTTTATGAATGTTTGAGTCTTTGTGTAATCATTATCATTTTATTGATCAATGCAGACAAACACTGCTTTGCTTCTCTTTGTAATTTTTGCAAAACATTTTTGCATCCACATCTGTTATAGTGAACTTAAAAACAGACCTGCTGCACCCTGTCTGTGTGTGTGTGTGTGTGTGTGTGTGTGTGTGTGTGTGTGTGTGTGTGTGTGTGTGTGTGTGTGTGTGTGTGTGTGTGTGTGTGTGTGTGTGTGTGTGTGTGTGCGTGTGCGTGTGTGTTTGTGCAAGGATTAATCCTTCGTGTTTGCACTGACAGCTACATGTTTCATAAAAGAGAAACAGATAAAAGCTCAGAGGAAGGCTGTGTTGTTGTGAAGTCATGTTTTGTTCTCAAAATCTGGCAACTCTTCAGCCCGGCCGCTGTCTACACCTATCACACACACACACACACACACACACACACACACACACACACACACACACACACACACACACACACACACACTTGCTTTTAGAAAAGGTGTAATAAAACTTCCCTGTCAGTCTTTCATGTGTGAGGCTTAAGAGCTGTCAG